GATGGTCAATACGTTATGTTTGTCCACTCACTAATTAATAAAATATAAATCATTTTTTGTTAATTAAATGAATAGTTACAGTCATATTGAAAAAATTTTATCTTACAGTGAAGAAACAGTGAATCTGAAATAGTTGTACTGAAAAGAACCCGAATGTAGGGTTGAAACATTTACATTTATATGTATATTTTTAAATAAGTGCTATTAATTCATACGAACAACCTGTGATGGCTCTCATTAATTTGTTTAATTGTTTCTTTAATCACTTATTCTAATTTATAATTTTTTGGTAATGCAAAATATCGATAATCTGAGAATATACAGACACAATTACACGTATGTATGTCTCACGTGTGTATACATATCATGAATTTAAAAAAAAATTCAAGATAATATAGTAGAAGTGAATATATAACAGAAAAGAATAGTGTACTGATACTATACGTGCGTTGCGAAACTTGTTGATAGTGCTGATAGTACTGTTTTTTCATTAATATCGATTCTGCTGTAAGTCAGTCATATTATTACCTTTTTCACGAAAGTAAATCCTAGAGAACTGCTGACTTTCAACCACTTCCGAGTAATTTTGCATATTTTCAGTAGTGCAAGCTGAGTAATGGCGACTCACGATTAAGATACTGTTTAAAGAAAAAAATGAAGATTTTTATTAAAAATACTCAAAATTATAATATGATACAATTATTATATTTTAATATTATTTGAAATTTAATTTGAGATATTTAAGAGATTCTCATCGTCATCATTTAAAGAATTTTCGGAAATACTTTCTAATATAACACTAAATATAACACTCTGAATACCAATTAAAATCGGTATTATACTTGCCATTAGTAATACAATATCACGAAATTTCCTGCTTTAAGTAAAAACTGACACGTAAAACAGATAACAGAACATAACACAAGCACGGAATCACGTGGAATCTATAAATTAGCATCATCATCACTCCTTTTATCTCCTTTATATGGAGCATAGGACGTCTACGAGTCTCCTCCATCTTACTCTATTTTGGGCAATCGTTTTTATTTCTGCCCAGCATTTTCCAATAGATTTAATTTCATTATCTATTGTTCTCCTCCAAGACATGGCAGGTCTCCCTCTTTTGCGCTTTCCTTGCGGATTGTATTCCATAGCCATGCGAGCTATGTTATGCGGATCTTTTCTTAGAGTATGGCCGATCCATTTCCATTTTCTGCGGCGGATTTCAGTGCCTATTTTTTCTTGCTTGGAGGCGCGCAGTAGTTCTTCATTAGTTGGCAAGTTTGGCCAGAACAGTCTCAGAATTCGTCGCAGACATTTGTTCAAGAAGACCTGAAGTTTGTTTATCAGTCCATCTGTGTTTTTCCAGGTCTCGCAACCGTATAGCAGCACAGATTTGATGCAAGCATTGAATAAACGAAGCTTATGTATGTTAGACATCTTTGAGCTTCTCCATATTTTATTAAGTCTGAAGAAGGCTTGTCGGGCCTTGTTTATTCTTTTGCTAACATCGATGTTGGTTCCTCCGTCTTTGGCAATTACGCAACCAAGGTATACAAAGTCGTTGACTTCTTCGATTGTGCGTCCTTCAATGGAAATAGGTGTGCTTATGTTTGTTCCAATACGCATTATTTTTGTTTTGTTGGTATTGATCTTTAGTCCAACTTCTGCAGCGTATCTTTGAAGTGCTGAAATTCTCCCCTGTGCATCTTTGTGTGTATGAGATAGTAACACGATGTCGTCCGCATAGTCGAGATCGTCAAGTCGGCGAGTCAGCAGCCACTGTATTCCGCCTGTTGTTTCTTGATTGCATTTTTCCATCACCGTATCCAGTACCATTAAGAATAGCATCGGTGATAGAATGCAGCCTTGGCGTACACCTCTTCTGATTTGGAAGGAGGGGCTCAGTTTTCCTTTGAAGAGAACACCGCATTCCGCGTTATCATATAATTCTTTTATTAATCTTGTTATTTGGGCTGGTATTCCAAATTTTTCTAGTGTTTTCCATATAGCCGGCCAAGTCACGGTGTCAAATGCTCTTTCAAAGTCCACGAAAGTCAGATACAGTGGTGAGTTGAATTCTGCTGCTTGCTCCACTATAATTCGAAGGCTGCTTATATGATCTATGCAGCTGTGTCCCGGGCGGAATCCTGCTTGTTCTTTTCTCAATTTTTCATTGACGTGCGCTGTCATTCTCTCGCGGATGATTGACGCTAGAATCTTCGTAATTGTATTCAGTAGGGTTATTCCTCGCCAGTTCTTACATTCACGGAGATCACCTTTCTTTGGAATTGTGATGATTATTCCTTGTTTCCATTTCGCCGGGATGCTGCCTGTGTCCCATACTTCTGTTATAATGGGGGCAAGTGTTTCCGCCGCAAATGATGGATCAGTTTTAAGTAATTCCGGTGCGATGCCGTCACTACCTGCGGCTTTGTTGTTCTTGAGTTTCTTTATTGCTAATCTGATTTCAGCAACTGATGGTGACTTTGTGCTGATACGAGATGATGTTGTATAGTCTATGTCGCAGTTATCTATTGTTGGGTCGTCGTGTTTAAAGAATTCTACCCATCGATTAAGTTGTTGTTGTTCCGTAGTGAGAATATGGCCATCGCTGTTCTTAATTTGTGGAATGCTTGTAAAATGGCCGGTGATCCTCCTGATACATTGGTATGTTTTGCGCACGTCCTTTTGTTCCGCCGCCACTTCAGCGTCATTGATGATGTTTTCTTCGAATTTACGACGATCTCTTCTTGCCATTTTCTTAATTTGTTTTTCTATGTTGTTATATCTTGCAAGGGTTACATCACTTCGGACCTGGTTTAGTTGTTGATTTAATGTTCTTCTTTGTTCGATTAATTCCCAGGTTTCATTCGTGATCCACATTTTACGGGTACTGTTTTTGATCCCGATGACTTCATTTGCGGATTCTACGTATGCTTTTTGCACTAATTCCCATTTTTCCTTCGCACTTATTGTAGGACTGATATTATTAACTTTGGCTGTTACAGTTTCACAGAAGTTCCGACGTTCGCCTTTATTCTTGAATTTTTCGATATTAAATTTCTTTTGTTTTGTTCTTGTTGTTATTATATTCATTGTTCTTATGCGTATTTTTGCCACGACTAGCTTATGGTCGCTATACATGTCCGCACTACGCATTGTTCGAACATCTAGAAGAGACTTCAGGTGTTTCTTGTCAATTAGCACGTGGTCGATCTGGTTACGTGTTACTCCGTCTGGTGCTTGCCAGGTATATTTATGAATGTCCTTGTGCGGGAATCGCGTGCTGCCGATGAAAAGTCGGTTGGCCATGCAGAGATCAATTAATCGCTCGCCGTTGTTATTGCGTGCTTCTCCAAGTCCATGGCGACCCATTATTTCATCGAGGTTGTTATTATTATTGCCGATTTTCCCGTTAAAGTCACCCATGACAAGTTTGATGTCTCTTTTGTGCGTTGAGGCGATTGTGGACTGCAGTTGGTTGTAGAAATGATCTTTTTCGCTGTCGTCTGCTATTTCCGTTGGTGCATAGCATTGAATGATTGTTATATTGCGATTTTTGGCTCGGAAACGAGCGGTTATTAATCGGTCGGAGACTGGATTCCACTCCATTAATGATTTTTTAATTTTAGTGGATATAACTATTCCAACTCCATTAATGTGGGTGGTTGAATTGCCCGAGTATATCATGTAGTGATTGTCTGACGTTGTAATGTCCCCGCTGTTCTTCCACCGCACTTCGCTGAGACCTAGGATCTTAATTTTACAGCGTGTCATTTCTTTGCTTAGTTGTGCCAAACGGGATGCCTGTGCCAATGTCCGGATGTTCCATGTGCCAATTCGTATACCTTTTTGATAGCTAAGGTTCATTTCCGTTGTATCCGTCCGATATCCGAGGCTCGTATTCGTTTCTCGAATTAGCTTGTTTCGGGTTTGTGGGTGATTGGCCCACAGAATCCTATCCAGCCGTCAGAGTTATACTAACTGTCGGTCGGCCGGAGCAACCGGTGATGGCCGTTTTTGTTATTATTTTTATTTAGGAATTCTAGCTGGATTTGAACTCGGGATCTTTGGCATGGGAGGCAAATACTTTGCCAGTGCGCTACGGCCACCACATATATAAATTAGCATACTAATAGATTAAGTTATAAATATCACAAACATATACTAGTATGTATTGGAAATATAGTTCGATTTTTATTACTATTGGAAGTGCTGCGAATTTTGGAACGACTACTAAAATGTAATGATTTTAGTAGTGATATTTTCAACACTATTTAGCACACTTCGGAACGCACCTTATAGCTTTGAAGTTCATTGACACAGTGTTGAAAAACTATAATGCATCTAACGTAAACTATGAATTTTCAGCGTTGGCAGCGAATTTTTTTAAACAGTATTGTGCCTTCTCTATATTATCCTATAGAGATAGGGAGCGTTTTTACAGTTCCAATTGTAGAAAAAGATAGACATAGGTTCTTATTTTAAGATTGTCTTTAATGTCTGAAAATCCTAATAGCTTTTTTTAATTATTTTAAAACATCTTAAGACTATACTTAACACAGTCTTAAATCTAAGACCCGATTAGCCATAATCTTATGAAAAATCTCTGTCTTCTACTAATTTACAATATGTAGCTTGCCAGGAGGTTTGCGGGTTATCGCCGTGTCTTTCTTCATTTTTCATTAAAAACCGTACCGTTCACGAAACGTTGGCATTAAAAATGAAGAAAGACACGGCAATAACCCGCAAACCTCCTGGCATAATTGAAGAAAATATCCGTGAAAGCCTCAAAAGCGTAATATGTAGCTTGTTTGTACTGCTTGTACTCGCAATTTATTTCAAAATTGTATTAAAGAATTTTCTAATTTTAGAATTTTCTAATCTGGAATTTTGAATAAAAATCCCTGAAAAACATTCGATAATTTTTTTACAAGAGTTTAAAATAAACATTTTGCTATATTTTTTATTGATACATTGTTACATAAAAATTGCAGTGCGAGGAATTGGTATTGACGGCACTTCACGACACGACATCGATAGTCATTGAGACAGCATCGTCAGTATTATTACCAGTTTTGGCACAGTGGGCATTATCCCTGAAGAGGTTGCATTTAAACCTTTTACCACGTATAATTTCGAAAGTTAAAAATCAGCTGAAGCCGACCCACTCACAGACTTCGCCAAACAAAAAAGACTATGTCGACGAAGAGAAATTGATGCCGTCGATCAGTATTCTGCAGTGCATCTTACCTTACACAGTGTTGTGTGTTGCCAATACTGATGCAGTGCGAGGCTGCATCAAAGATGATACGTCACCAGACTTGTGTGAGTTATTAGAGGAAGTAAAGACCAAATAGGAATTATATTTAAATTATTGCACGATGAAATAAATGATAGTCAAGTAAAAAAAAAAAATGATATAACTATTAGATTTAAAAGTTTAGAAATTAAAAAATAAAAGTTACATTAGATTTGAAATAAAAATAAATAAATTTATATACTGATTTGGAAATAAAAAGTGTATAACACATCTGAAGAATTTGTCATCTATTATATATGAATATGAGTAAAATATATTAAAAGTATTTTAATATTTATAGATTTTTTTAGTAGAAAAATTTTGTATTTTATATATATATAAGGGATTTAAAATTCAAACATTTTGTTAAAAAATTTTTAGTAGTTTTTGTATAAAGCTCATAAGCTCGCACAAAAACAAAAGCACAAAAGTTTTCTAGAAACTTTGTGGTGCAGCCGAGGAATTTCTGGCGTTGTGTCACTCTAATATCATCGACCCGAGAATATTCTACGAGGATTCCGTCGACGTTGGTGTTCTTCTCAATTATTATCAATATGTTATTTAATTTTTACGGGAATTAAATTGAATATCAATAAATCACGATTTTATTTCAGTATCGGAAAATAGAACAATAAAATTCTTGCTGTTCTGAAGCTAATAATATTATATTTTATTATAATATTATATTTTATTAAAATTATAAATTGTTTTATAAAAATTGTTTTAAGATATTGATTTCGAAGTACACTTGCATTCTCTTTTAGAGTATTTCAAGTTTTGGATATGGTGAAATCTGTGGACGCAACTCAGGAAAACGTTCTAAAAGCCCTTCTCACGTATATTTATTCATTGTGCATAGGTTTTGGGAAATATATTACACAATCAAGGGTAAGTATAAAAGACCATTTCTAAATAGAAATATTATTAAAGTATATATTTTTAATAACTCTGATGACTAAGATGTATCAACTTGTAAATTACTTTTAAATTTTTGTGTGCTTTAGATTCTTCAGATTAGATAAGATATTTATCTTTATTCTTGAATTTTTTTTAATTTTTAATTTCTTAAAATATTTTTTTAAGTATTACTTTTATAAACAAATTTGAAAAATAAAGGCTATGAATCAACGCAAGATGTATATTACTAATATTAAAATTTAATAATATAATTTTAAATTTAAACGTTTCAATCTACACTAGATCATATTCAGTGTAGTGAATAAATTTAAATAAAAATACAAATAAAGTCATTATCTACTATATAATCTACTATCTATATTATTGTTTTTTTAACCTTTTAACATAATCGATTTAACATAAAATTAAAGCTAATATATAATCTATTATTACGATCGAAAATTTCTGCTTGTAATTCCTCCACAATTCATCCTCGGGTGATAATTAAGTTCTTATAGTAAAGACTCCGCTTTGCCAAATGTATTTTGCAATTTTAACTTGGTGATCCGCAATCTTATTGTCGTCAGTAAAATGTTAAATTTAATTGTCAGCTGTATAAAATATTAAATTGTTAACTATATATAAAATATAAAATTGATATAATAGTAAATTTAATAAATAATTAAATTAATGTACCAATCATACCTTTTGAATAGTTTTGAAAAAATTACAAAGGTTCACTTATTGTCAAAACTATATATTATTTCTTTTCAACCATCACAAAATAAGACTTAGGTAACTGTTCGAAGATAAAGTGAAAAATGACATAATGGAAACATATGATAGAGAGATATTATGGAAAGGGAAAATTAAGTAGTGGGAAGGAAAACAGGAAAGAGTGTAAAATTAAGGAGGGGGTAATAATCAATTTACATCAATTTTATAATTTATATGTATACAGCTGACAATTAAATTTAACCCGTTGTGGTTACACTGGGTCTAGATCCAGTGTAACCATTACGTTATTTTTTGGAGGTGTAACAACGGGTTAACATTTTACTGACGACAATGATAACATTGCGGACTACCAAATCAAAATTTCAAAATGACATTTGGCGAAGCGGAGTCTTTACTATAAGAACTTAATATCACTCGAGGAAAAATTGTGGAGGAATTGTGAGCTGAAATTTTCGATCATGATAGTAGGTTATATATTAGCTTTAATTTTATCGATTATGTTAAAAAGTTAAAAAAAAAATAATATAGATGTTTATATATTATAGTAAACAATGTGACTTTATTTGTATTTTTATTTAAATTTATTAACTACACTGAATATAATCTAATGTAAGCTGAAAACGTTTGAAATTAAAATTGTATTATTAAATTTTAATATTAGCAATATACATCTTGCGTTGACTTATAGTCTTTATTTTTTAAATTATTGTCCAAATATACCAACATTATTAGTCTAATATTATTTAAGTTATGCGCTTAAAAATTTTATAAATAAATATTATTTCAGATACAGACAATATTTTCCTCAGCAGTATCAGAACTTGAGAAACAATTGACAGTTTTATCGGCAAACAAGAAGAATATGAGTCTTTCATTGATCTCAAGTTACTTAGTGATTCTAAGTACTTTTGATTTCACGGAGCTCGCAAATTATTTCAAACAATTTCTCGTAGTTTTATCTATGAGCGGCACTAGTATATCTTGTTTGCAAATCGCTGCTAGTATTTTATGCACTCGTGAACAGACACAAGAATACGTGCTTTCTAGTCTATGGGATGGTTCGTGTCTTTTTCTATTTTATATCTCTTTGTATTATTATTACTAATTATTTTGTAAAAGAAATAGTGCCGAAGCTTATAATAAATGAAAATATTATAAGATTTGGAAAATATTATTTATAATTTAAACTATAATTGTTTTATTAAAAAAAATTCTTTTCTAGAATTAAAATGTATATATAGGAGCCATTTTAATTTAAATAGCCAATTTTTGAAAATCATGCGATTTTAGAGAAAAATATTTCAGGCAAAAATTATGAGGTTTGAAGGGGAACATAAGAGATTGGTTTGACCTTGAATGATGCCACTAAAGTCAAGATCACTTTGAATTTTTTTGGAATCCCCCATTTTTCATTGCATATTCTTGTAACTTATATATTTCGAGAGATTATATATAAAACATTATAACAAAATGTTTTATATAATAATATATGTTAAATATTATTTTATTACATTATATTATATTTTATTAACGAAGATTTTATTATAATTTTATATTTTCTCCTAGGACTGATATATGTATTTTTATATTATAATGTTCTGCAGAATATTTTTGAATTATAGTAACAAATTTAAAGTTTTTTCTTTACAGGTGTAATGCATCAAAGGCCCTCTGTAAGATGTGCAACAGCAACACTATTCGGTTCCATTATAGGGCACATTTCAGATCAACTAGCGAACACCAAGATCGTACCAGCCATTGTAACACTTGCCAACGATCCTGAAGTGTGAGAGATCTCCTATTTATGCATGCATGTATCTGAAATTCCATTTCATTTCTTAATATACTATTAGTTCCTTATAAAATCTTTGTCACTCCAAAATCCTTGAACGTATAAGCTATAAACTTAAGCTATCTATCTAATGTAATTTTCAGAAAATTCCATAAATGACTAATACTAAATAAATGATAAAAAGACGGATTAGGACTCTTATCATATTTATTTCACAAAAATTAATAAATATTGCAGATGCTAGTTTGTAAAATTACAAGATTTAATTATATTATTAGATTTACATTAAGTATATCGAGACAAAGAAAAATTGAGTGTAACAACATATATAAAGATTCTGTTATAATTATAATAGATATTTCAGCTATCTTTTCAAGCTTTTTTCAGATATTCAAGACAGAAAAGTTAAACAGAAAATTGCAACAATATCGTTAGTTAGTTATCATGCTAACGAGTCAATCTAAAAACCATAGAATTGTTCGTAGAACGCAGTTGAATGACCAAATGAATATGAAGGAAAATTCTGGAAATTGTGAACATTAGAACTGCAAGCGACGCACAAAAAATTTTAATAGAAAAAGAATCAGTGTCTGTCTATAGTAGTCTATTAACTACGTTCAATTTAATTACTTTGACTCTATCTAAGAAATTTTATTTTTGTGAATTTTACTGACTCTGATTATTAATAATTTTCTATTAAAATGCTCTATGCATTACTTACAGTTCTAATATTCATAATTTCCAAAAATTTTTTCAACATAATCATTCAACCGTTCTGTGAACAATTTTCAATATATTTAATGTAAATCTAATAATATAATTAAATCTTATAATTTTGTGCACCAGCACCTGCGTTAACTTTTATATATCTTTATTTATACTGATACAAAATTATTTACTTTAAAATATATATGAATCATTTTCGGAATATTAAGGGTCGACAGGAGTGACGGGCCAAGTCCGAATTGACTTTGAAGACCTCACGTGGTAGGACCTTGAAGCTCTGCATCATTTTTATAATGCCTTTTTTACAAGAAAATAACTCTGTACGAGCCTTCAGGAGCTTTTTCTGATTACGAATATCATAATTAAAACACGATTCATGTTATATTTTAGCCACAATTTCAGTATAAAGGTATGTATTTATAAGTGCAGAGCTAGGTCAGTTATGCTCATTTTTCTTTTCGAAGAAATATTACTTCTTTATAAAACCTGTTGGGATTTCTTTGTTATACTACTAGGAAGGCTCGTACAGACCCGGGATTTTGCAAATTGATTCTTGAAAATTTTTTTAAATAAAATTATGTGTACACCTTACTTGCACTATAGTACACTTCGGGCACAGTATAAGTAAGTACAGTAGTTTCACTCCGTGTCGGTACCTTTGATCTATGTGTCCTACAGTCAGCCATGTTGTTGGTTGTGTGAGGCCTTTGTTTTTACTGCACACATCGACACCACAGTGACACACAGTGACACAGTATCCATACGTGACATCGACGCCATGATGAAAGTTGTGCGATTCGCGCACCCATAAATTTTGGAGAGTGAAACTACTGTACTTACCTATACTGTGCTTCGGGTGAGATATCAGAACAAATTATTTTTTTCTCTTTTTAAAAAAAAAATAGCTCTGTACGAGCCTTCAGGAGCCTTTCCTAATTACGAATATCACAATTAAAACGCGATCCATCCAGTATTTTAGCCGTAATTTGGAAATAAAAAATTCATCTTCAACTAGAGGTCTCCATGGGTCTTTCCTGTCGACCCTTAATATTTTTTATTTTGTGCCATATGCAATAATTGAATAAATAACTTTAGTGATGTACGTTGTGCTGCAATCTCCACACTAGGCCGAATAATAACGGAATGCAAGGTGAGGGAGGCACGTGATAAAGGACGTTTAACATTGGAAACAATCGCAAAGGATTTTCAAGAATTCTCTCAAACTTTAGCAACATCGTTAGTATCCACGTTTGCAGTCATCGCTCCTACTTGTCCGCAAAGTTATATAGAAGACAGTACGTTATTTTGTACAATATGTTTTATTTAATTTGAGAAATACATTCTCAAACATAAAAGAATGGGATACAAATTTTCTATCTTAATTTTGATAAAAATTGCTTTTATTATTAAAATGTCTTATTGTCTTATGTTATATTGAGCTATTAATTACAGTAATAGCGGCGCATTTATTGATGATTGCATCGTTCGCACTTCAACAGAGCCACAAAATCGAATTAATAAACGCGTTGGTGGAGGCATATTCTGTGCTAGTTTACTGTCCGTTAAGTAGTCAATGCGTTTCTGTAGTAATACTACCGGGATTAAGACATCTTGAGACACTGGTAAATCAGTGTCTACCTCAGCAAAGAGATGCAGTGCGTTCTCTAATCAGAGAAGCAGAATCCAGACAAGATTTATCAAAACCAATAGAGAGGTATTGAATAAAAATTTTATTGAATAATAATTTTAAATAATGTGTTAAATGTATTTAATAGTGTTTGTAATAAATTAAGAATTAATAATTTTAAATAACTATACGTATAATACAAATACATTATTAAACATTAATATATTTCGATCCATATTCAGAACGCGTTTTTATTGATAAAAGCGCGCTCTGAAATTCTATAGTATGCATAACGTAAACTATAGCATGTTAGAGCGCTAACATCGTTGTAAGCACGTTCTGAATACGGGCCTTTATATTTTATTACTAAATCTAATCTATATTTACGATAGTCTTTATATAAATCTGGTTAATTTCTGATTTTTTATATTGTTGAATACTTTTCTAAAAATATTACATATCAACTCTCATTAACTAAAAAGTTGCAACACTTTTTTTGATAATATGTTATATATAAGTATTGAACATCTGTAAAAAGTTATTCTCACTTCAGGACACTCTCAACAAGTTCCGGACTTTCCCTATCGATGGCAACGGTAAATGTTGGTCAAGGTGTCGAGGACATGCGTCAGAGGATGAGCAAGATCTTTCAACATAAAACTAGATCATCTGGCATACCGAGTATTTTCCGCAAGAAATAAATTGATTTTTGTCTTGTAGCGAAATCGTGACAAAATCGAGTGTCACATCAGTGAAAGGCTCGCAAGAGCAATCAATAAGATTGTTAGATATAAATGTATAATGTTGTTTTAACGAATGTTAACTTATTTTTTTATTGTGCTAGCTTTGTAAGTGTGTTGGACGTGTAAATTATTATTTAAATATTAACATGATCTAAAGAATTTATAAGTGAAGAATATGAATATCTTTTATTTTGATAGAACTCTGATATTCATTCAGTTAGTGTCTATGCCTTTTCAGCATCTGACATTTTTCTTATTTTCCAACGATTCTCATGCAGCTCATCCATATTTATGGCCTTATTGCAACTTTTCATATTTTATAATAATAAAATAGTAACAAATTTATCGTAAATTCACAACGGATGTTGTCAAAATTAAATAATTTTGTTATACCATTTGTTAACAATTAACAGTTATTATTTATAAAAAAAGAAAAGTTATTCATTAACAACAAACGTCCGACAATAATTAATTATTAAAAAAACAGAATAGAGTCAAAGTATATTCCTATTTGTCATTACTTCAGAAACAATTAAATAAACAATTTCTGTAAAATATAATAAAATAGAATTACCATACAGGGTGGGCCGAAAGCACAGTATATACAGTAGCGCAACTCTCCCGATTTTATGTCACACAAAATGGAGTGCGCATGCGCGAAATAAGCAAGATGCCCAGTCGCGCCACCTAAACTTCTTTCTCATTTCTTCTTATCCGTTCTCTGTCACTCTCTGTCAGGACCATTTAAATGGTTCCGTTTAAAGATCCTGTGATTAGGTGTGTGCTAGTGTGTACTTAGAAAGCTCAAATTTGAAGGAAATTAGTATAATTGCCGTCTGTTTGAGTTGTGTTAGTTTGAGAAACTCCGAAGCTAGTTTGTAACCGAAAAGTTTGTGGAAATAAAATAGTGAAAAAGTGGAAAAAATTAAGTGAAACGAGGAACGATTACTAAGAGAATAGTTAATCTATACAACCATTGCATAAAAATTATTATCTTATTTAATTTAAAAAAAGTTATTATTAAATATTGTTTATAAATGTAATAATTACAGTAATTATTTTCTTAAACGTATAACATTAAATTTTACTTTTTGTTGTTTATATTAATATCTTAAACCTGCGATATATGATGTTTGTTTTCCTGCCGGATTGCTTACGTTTCAGTTAGAAAATCTACGTTCCGTATGACGCAATTCTAATAATTTACAAAAACGCAAGCAATCTAACAGGAAAAAACGCATTGTATATATGTCGCAGATTTTAATTAAAATATTTTTACAGTATAATATTTATATTATACAATCTTTACATAAGCTTATATTTTCTTATCTTTTTATTTTACAATGCATTACAATTATGGTCTATTTTTTAAAGTTCTTATTACATTTAGATTAATTCGATGTAGTACATACAAATAAGCTAGAGTAGCTAGAAAAAGATGGAAAGATGGAGAGTAAAGAGCAAGTGAGAAAGAAGTTTAGGTGGCGCGACTGGGCATCTTGCTTATTTCGCGCATGCGCACTCCATTTTGTGTGACACTAACATCAAAGGTGCCGACAGAGAGTTGCGCTACTGTATATACTGTGCCGAAAGTCTGGATACACCCAAATATCTCATAAACTGCATTTTAGAAAAAAATATCTCAGACAAAAGTTGTAAGGCTTAAGGATGTTCTTCGACTGCAGTTGTGCTCAACCTAAAGTTTATTCGCGTCCATGCAATCGCCCCTACACACAGAAAGTAATAGTTGAATACCACTCCGCTCAGGCCCGCATTAAGGGGAAGGGGGCTAGGGGGGCTGTAGCCCCAGGCCCCACGGAAATAGGTTCCCCCGTTACATTAAAGAAAAAATTTTAATTCTTTGATTAAAATTAAAATTAAAATCATTTAGAATTATTTTTAATCTTAAAAAAATTAGTTTTTATTTTCTTAATATATAGTAATAGTAGATGCTGTCCCATACATTTTATTTCTCTTTTTAAAGTACACTTTTCAACAAAATTAAAGGATTACTTGTTCCACCCTGCAAAATAAGCAAACTTTGAGATAAAATAACTTCGTGAAAAATCATCGTATCGAGATGTTTAAAAAAGCATTTTAAAGCTTGAAATCTCTACTTTTCAGACTTGTACTTGAAAAAACGGTCTTACTGATATTTCGTGAAGTTGCACAATCATAAATAAAAGTGTGTCAAACCTAAAAATTTTTTACAAAATTTGCCAAGTTCCACGGAGCCAAGAAAAAATTGTCTACAAATGCGGTTTACAGCTTTCGAAAGAGTGAATCTTTATCTTCAATTTGTTTTTTTGTTGAGCTCTGTACGATTTTTTTTTGACCGAGTTATTCAACGTTTAAGTAAAAATGGCCTTTTTACATCAAATATGTACAGAACAGTGATGTTGGACGAACGATTAACATCTTTAACTGGCTTAGCAATCGAATCTGAATTACTAAGATCGATTGATTTTAATAATTTAGTACAAGATTTTGTAAAATTAAAATTGAGAAAAAAAATTTTAACTAAAGAATGTAGAGGAAGGTCAGCGATACCGACATACTACTTTGTTTTTAGACTATATTTTTTAGACAAAAGCAAAAACTAAATCTTTGGAGATATAAATGTAAACTGGAAAGTGTCTTCTATCGATGCTCTATAGCAATTTTTATAATACTGTTAAGAATTTTGCAATAATTAACCTTTTTATCGAATAAGCGAAAACGAGCGTCAGACAAAATGGGCCCCAAAACTGACATATGCGTATATGGCCACACAGCATGCGCATGTGACCGCAGTGTGCAGGTTATGTTACGATGCGCGATATGTCGTGATGGGACACGTGACGACATGCCGGTTTAGGCTATAAACGATTTTATTTTTAAAACCGTATTATAAGAAAAATAAGAAACAGGAAAATATAAATAAAATAGTTTTAGAAAACTACAAACATATAAAAGGACTTAATATTATCACTAATATAGCTACTATTACATAAACTATGTAATTTATAAAATAACATCATAAGAATTTTGTTTTCACATTTGTAGAATTCGTTTTTAACTGATTTTGTATAGAAACAAGTCACATCTATATGAATTATGGGTTTTTTCTTCTTTAATTACCTAAACAGATTATGTTTTCATTAGTATTAATGAAGTGCAAAGATTAGTTTACGAGAAATAAGGGGGTGTCACTTTAGGAGACCTATGTCAGTATCGGTGACTTTCCTCTATTAATTTATTTATTTGTCTCTAATCTTTATATGATTCAATTTTAATGTTTATTGTTTTGGATTAAATAACCTAATTATACTGCTTTACCTACGTATAGACGTGATCATCCTTTTTTTTTTTAAGATTAAAAAGAAGGGTCCCTAAAGTTAAATAGCCCCGGGCCCCTCAACTCTTTAATCCGGGCCTGACTCCGCTCTTTCACTTGTTTCGTTGCCAAATCGTCAATACCTCTCGCTTTCGCTATTGCCGCCGGTCGAAAAAATATCGGAGCTACTTATTTTGCTAAATGGTTTCTTAAAAATAAATACCGAAAGGCATATTCACGCAAATTTCATATCATTCCTTGTGATATCAAGTTTTATGTCTCTTTGTTTAAAAAAATTGTAAAAAAAACTTTTTACAGTGAATACAAAGACCACTTTCAAATAAATTTCAGATAGGGATCCTATGTTAAACGCTTCAACTTTGAAGTGGAATATCTTGATTTTTAATCCCGCTCCGGGTACTGAGCTTCAAAACACATGTTCAGAACACTAAAACAAGCTTTTTCTGTAAATTTCAGAAAAATTTAAAGAAAGTAGATTTTTCGGAGAATGCCTTAAGGCTCCTGAATACCGGCGACAGCCATGTTAGAATTGTGACGTCATAAGCGAGAAGACACATTGGCTACGTTCAGCAGACTCAACAGTTGAGTGAGCGCTCGCTGTTATTGGTGTTTCCTTCTAGATTTAAAATTTGATTGGATGATCTAAAAGAATACACCAATAACAGCGAGCGCTCACTCAACTGTTGAGTCCGCTGAACGCGCCCATTAATTTTTCTTGTGTGCCATTTTTTAATAAAGACAATTTGGATAAATTTAAAAGGCGAGATCGCTCAAAAACACTTGTGAAAATTGCCGGAAACTGTCATTTCCTCCTCTGATAGTCAGTAAATGGTCGTAAAAAGCACGTAAAGTTAGCCTATTCTCGGGAAGAATCACACAGTTAACAGCTGATGAAACGAGTGAAATATACGCTTTTACGTATAAAATTTCACGATAACTGCAGCTTCCGGCAATTTTTAGGACTTTCACGAGTACGAGGGAAGTCATATTTTCACAAATAAGCAAATATTGACAAAATGGCACGCAAGAAAAAATTTGTCGTCAAAATTGGTCAAAACATCACTTTTCCACGCCTATTAGTTCAGCCTTTTACCATGGTGAGGCGCTATGCACAAACACAAGCATGAATCCGTGTCTGTGTGCTCCCCTTCTACCCGAAAATAAGCACACGGACATGAGCTTGTATTTGTGTGTATAACCAGTAGCGTACTACCAGTTTTGCTAGCCACCGACTAATTCGGTGTCGCTACCATCAACACGGGAGTTCTTGGCTGAGTATTCAGGAGCCTTAAAAAGACGCATTTAACGATAGTAGTTATTTGATCTAGGATAGCGCTGTCAAGGTCACATCAAGGTCAACTTAATTTTTTTTAAATAAAAACTCCCTACTTTTTATATCAGATTCTTATAGATTATGTTGAGACGTTTTTGAAAATATATATTGTAAATTCTTTTCCGATGAGAACTTCCTGAGTTATGAGTCTTTAAAGTTTACCGCAGGCATTAGAGTTAACCAAGATGTATCGCATGGAGGTTGCTCGTTCGCTTAATCATTTACACATGCGACAAACACACACGTGTAACGGAGAGGGTTGGAGCAAAGACATAGAGAATGGACTGCGCGATCCCGTATCTAAGTAGTATCAAAATGTGTCGACGAAAATGAGAGAGGGTCCGTGGAAGACGGCCATCTCTATCTTTTTCCATTTGATGGTGTAATGGAAGAGAGAATGAGAGGGAGATGGCATGGACCTATAATATATGGACCGAGCATCCC